AAGGATCCTGTTCATATGGACCTGTCGTCAGACAGAACACTAAATAATAATAATAAGATGAGGTGGTCTAGGCAACACGGAGTTTTCCTCCGGTTTCTCCGTGGCATCCCATTCACCACCAGAAGAAGGCAATGGCAAACACCTTCTGGATCATCTGCCAAGAACGTATATGAACAGGTCCCAGTCCGAGAAAAGGATGGAAGGATCCTGTTCATATGGACCTGTCGTCAGACAGAACACTAAATAAATAAATAAATAAATAAATAATATAGGTCTTGATGCAGATACAAGTCTGTTTGGACAACATCGAAAAAAATTTCGAATAAAAACCTACAGAATAATTTTTCTCTAGGCGTTTGGTGGCGACAGGTAAATGCTACAAATGGACAGTTTTCCAAATACCTAGCTGACATCTCATTCTGATGTCCCATAACACTTCAGCTCCAAAATATTTAACCAAAATGGATGAAGGAATAAGATATACAGTGGGGAGGACACACAATGAGATTTTAACAAAACAGTGCATTTCCTCATTAACAACACAATTTATTCTATGATTATAAACAAATGTCTTCTGATACATATAATCACCTAAAAATAGAAAAATTAATATAAAAAAATGTTGAATTAACTAGGCAGTAGTAACAGGAGAATAAAGATAAGTGCATGATAAAAAGTTGTAATGTTTGAATTCCTCACCAATCGCGATTATGGCGATCAAATTGAGGATTGGCTGGACACGGAATATGGCGAGTGTGGAAAACCCAAAGCCAAGAAACCACTTCACAGACCTAGGTACAGATGGAAGGATATTATTAAAGTCAGTCTTAAAATAAGATACTGGACTGGACTGATTTCACTCGGAACATGGTCTGTGTTCATTTCTGTGAACACAGACCAGCCATTGATACAGAAATCTTAAACATTTACAGAGAATGTTCTTCAGTGCTTCTACTCTCATGATTTAGGATGTAGTCAAATGTATCAGATTATGCAGCACTAGACATGAAGCTTCGATGGGAGAGGAAATTTTGGTGCGCCGAATCTTGGAAAGCAACCACTTGGAAGACCAAGGAGTAGATGGGCAGTGAATGGAATTCGCTGTACATTATATCTAACGACAGTCTTCTGTATTATCAACGTGGAACTTTGAATTCTATCGCACGGCTAGTCACAGTAAAGAATAACTTTTAAATTCCATTGCTGTATTACGGTTAGTACATTTCATCTTTTATTGTAAGGAGTTTAGCTCCCAGTTTTAATTTTGCCTGAATTTATTAAATATTTCTATGCCTTCAGCCATGATGAAGAACTTTGATACGTCAGATTTTTTTTTTTACACTGTGATAACTCGCAAAAGTGTTGCCCTAGGGAAAAAGATATTTTCGGGTGAGCTACTGGTAGAAGTTTGGAATGAACACTGCACGTATCTGTCAAAGAAACATCAGAGGCAAAGTTTTATTCAAGTTCAAAATTACGACAGCATTCAGCAAAGTCGATCGAGTGCTCGACTTAGAAATTACAGATTTTGTTGGCAGTTACCACCATTTCGGAGAAACAATCACACCCCCCCCTTCAAAATAAAATACAGGGGCCACACATTCCTCCAAAATGTCAGTAACCACTTTCACAACACAAAAGACCTGAACCCACAATGCTTAAGTATCGGAAGCAACTTCATAGATAACTGCAGATTGGGAAAAACCAAGGAAAGTAACTCAGATCGCTGTATTATACCAGTTAACTTCGAAATACAAATAATTAATTGGAGAAACATTTTAGGTACACTCGCAATCAAGCAAAAAAAAAAAATATTAATTATTACGTATCATATATTTTATCCTGCTTTGGCCAAAGAATTATGCATGCTTATGTACCAGACCACCAAATAAAGAGTCATTAAAAATTATTAGCCGCACTGATTCTACAACGAAAAACAGAGACTGCCACGTGCAAGATTTGAAAATGCGAAAGTAGTCGTATTACTATCAACGTCGCCAAATCAGATCGTCACGTACTGAAAGTCATCTTATCATCACAAATTCAACCGTATCTCTGGCAATTTGCATCCTTTATTATTAATACATCGCAGGATAAATACATGCGTAATTCTCTGTTCACCCCCTCGCCACGTTGAGGCACAGGACTTGGAGGGGGAGGACATGGCAAGCTGCAATTTCCAGAAGCACGTCCAAAATACTGAACTCGAAAAGAAATTCCAATCTCACTGTTACAGATTACTCCGAGGGACAAAGATTTTGCTTTAAGAAGATCCGCATTTATCAACAGCCATTCATCTTTCACCAGACGTGGAACCATCTGGTGGCTGTGTTTCAAATAAAACTTGAACAGAACTTGCAATTACTCTAAACATCCTGGTACCCTTCCCACCCCCCCCA